AAAATGATCGTGTTAAATAAAAAATAAAAAATAGTGTTTTAGTGTCCATATTGTTTTAATAATGTGGTTCCGTTTTCGCCAGAGAAAATTGGTTCCGTTTTCGCCACTTGGTTTTTGGTACCGTTTTGATGTGGTGCCGTTTTAGCCTGCACCCCTAGATATTACAGTCCTGTTATATGCACTATAAGTATCAGCAGATCGTCTGATTTTTATTTAGTTTCAAAATGCATACAAGTATGATAATAAACTAATTAGGATTATAAGACGAAATATAAAGACGTACATTGACTAGTATCTACATACTGGTGAGTGGACGTTAACCACGTGAATGTAGCAAGAAATTTATCGCGCAGTATTGTAACTTCGTCCCCCCACCTCGATTCCGTGGAAGAAATCGTTGTTATAAGTTGTGTCATGCAAAATGCTTTTGGTTATGATTCAAATACATATTTAACTACGAGTAGAAAGTATACTGAGTCAAAAAAGAAACTTCACAAAATGTAATTTGAAAAATAATGAATAATTTTTCTCTGATGATACATCTATGTATCCGAAATGGGATCCCTATCTTTCGACTCTAGAAAAACGTTAGCAAAACCCACTCAAACCCATCCATTCGTCGTGCAAATGACGTTAGTGCCAAATCAGGTTTTGCACGTGCAGTCGATCACGTGATCTTCGCATCGAAGTTTTCTTCATATGCACGTGTTTGCATTGGCCTCAAGAATTGAAAAAACACTTTTAAACCACAGTTCTAACGGTACTTGAAATGCCGCGATTGTCAAATGTGCAACGTGAACGTGCCGTTGGCATGTTGCAAGCGGGAAGATCTGTTATTGACGTCGCAAGAGCAATGGGATGCAGCGGTCGTACTGTGTATGACTTGCGAGGTCGTCTACAACAAACTGGCACCACTTCTGATCGCTCAAGGTCGGGTCGTCCACGTGTGACGTCACGAGCAGAAGACCGTCAAATCGTCCTACGTCCCCTACGTGACAGATTTCTGCCAGCTACACGAACCAGGGCTATGATGTTTAGAGGTCGACTGTCCTCACAGACCATTCGAAATCGGTTGCGGGCTGCCAATCTCCATTCTCAATGTCCATATCGTGGGCCAATATTGACGCCGTTTCATCAACGTCAACGTCTGCTGTGGGCCCAACGTCACCTCCGATGGACCCAGAGAGACTGGAATCGAGTTGTCTTTAGCGATGAATCCAGGTTTACCCTCAGATTCGCGGACGGCAGGCATAGAGTCTGGAGACGACGTCATGAACGGTATGCCCAATGTTGTGTACAGGAAGTCGACAGATTCGGGGGGCGGAAGTTGCATGGTGAGGGGTGCTTTCTGTGGGAACAACCGTTCCCGACTTCTGGTCATCCGTGGAAAGCTCACAGCTGATGCTTACCGCGACCAGGTGCTCACCCCCTGAACTCGTTCCTTTCATGGCGGCTCATGGCCCAGGTCTACAGTTCCAGCATGATAATGCTCGGCCGCATACCGCGATGTTGACACAAAATTTCCTTCAAAACGCTGGAATCAACGTCATGGACTGGCCATCGAGGTCCCCTGACCTTAATCCAATAGAGCACGTTTGGGATGCACTTGGGAGAAGGCTTCGTGGTCTTAGGAACCAACCTCAGAATTTGCAGGAACTTGGCGCTGCCTTGCAAGAGCAATGGCGCAGAATCCCAAACCACGTGTTCACAAGCATCAGGCAGTCGATGAGGAGACGGTGTTTTGCAGTGGTGAATGCGCGGGGCGGCCATACACGATATTGAACTGAGAAATTTCGCATTTTTATTCTTGTGACTTGACATTCTGTATACCCATGTTTTGGAACGGCGGTGTAGCCTAATGGAACTGATTATGGCACTGTCAGTGTATCGAGTACATCACACAGATCTCAGCAATGAAATAATAACAATTTAACCATCTTACCATCTCTTGTTCTTTTATAATGCCCTGAAGAAAGAATGTGAAGTTTCTTTTTGACTCAGTATAGTTTGGATTTTCTAACTTGATGAAAATAAACCATAATCTCCTTAATTCTAACAGACTTTAGCCCGTGACTTCACGATTTTCAAAAATGGCGGCGCCCTGTCGAGAACATCCGCCAGTCTGAGTAAAAATGCTATTTAGGTTTGTTTTCACCGAGTTACAAAATCAAAACTACTTTCTACTGGTAGTAAAATATGTATTTGATTGATCGCCAATAGGATTTTGCATGACATAGCTTATAACATAACAATTTCTCTCGTGGAAGCGAGGTGGGTGTCAATATAATACTACTTACAGTATTATTGTTACTTCGACCACTACCTCTCTTCTGAGGCAGAAATCGTTATGTTACAAGTTGTGTCATGGAAAATCTTTATGGTCATCAATCATATACATATTTAACTACGACTAGTAAGTAGTTTTGATTCTTTAACTTCCGTGAAGCGATCTGAACACATGTAAGATATCGTTTCAGGCTTCCACAATGCTCGCTTCACACTCACAAACATAACCCATTTTACACAAACTACGGGGTCCTGTGGAAATCTGTGCATGGCGACACCATCGCCCGACCTCTAGGAGCAATTGACGACAACGCAACGATTTGGCATGTCTTCGTTAATGTCGAGAAATCATCAAAATGACGAGCTTGCTACACACTTTCTATACAACTAACTGAAAATCCTTCCTCATATGACGTCACTGCAGTGCTCTGGCGACAGAGTTACGTAACCTGTCTGTGGTTTCGTTGGCGGGCGAGAGTGAAGCAGGCGACTTTTTGGCAACTTTTAATCGCTCGGTACTAATTAACCACAAGCTTTTAAAGAATGAATTTGGTGTTCTGCATAAGACTGACCACAAATCTTTCATATGTAATAGTTAAAAGAGTAAAAAAACCAAAGTTTATTTGTTCTGCGAGCCTGACCACCTGATCCCGTTAGTCGGTTTTTACGACATGCATGGGATGGTGAAGATCTCACCCTGATCTTCACGGGTAAATACTGCAATGAATCTTATGCAAGAATACAGTTTGGAGGACTGTCGCAAAAATATTCTTTAAAGAAAGAAAGTATGCTACCATTTGTTTCGAAAGTGACACAGGAAAAATAGTTTGTTTTCCGAACACCGGAAACCTAAATGAAAGGAAATGGAAAAATAGTTTCAACAAGGTTTTCAGACCGTTTCTCTACATTTCTTGCAAATTTCTTGGAAACTGATACTTACAAATTACTCAGATGCCGACAAGACTCCAGTGGGTTTCAGTTACCCAGATTCCCGAAAGGCTCCAGTGGGTTCCATACGTTTCAGTAAATCAGAATCGGTATGGCTCTTTTTGGTTTCAGTTGCATTCAGTGATTACCATTACATATGTCCACATTAAATGATGATTGAATAACATATATTACATAATACATTGAAATATATAATACTGAACTGCTCTGCAATGTTCCTAAACGTATTGATCTTAAATACTAAACCAAAAACAAAACATAGATAAAGATAATCCAAATCCGTTTTCCTCACTTCTCATTTTGTATTCAAAAGATAAGCACGTGACAACAGCATGCACCATTGTTTGTTTAGAGATTTCCTGTCGGTCTGTGATCAACGAGACACTGGTAAGAAGTTAATTAAGGTTATGTGTGTGAAGAATAAATCATTTGGTAAGTGTGATGACAATGTGTGATTAGATGCGGAGTTAAACATGCCACTTCATTGTTGAACCAGTTAATCCCCACCTTTGATCTTTTGGTAGCACGTTTATGAACATGCATGACTTTTGATTTCGCGAATGAAGTTTTTGGTTGCAAGAACCAACTTTGACAGTTCGAGTCAAAAGGGTAAATTTGTACTTTTTGGACTTTGGGGGACGATGTCGTTTTTCGTAAAACAAATCGTTTCATCTCAAGATAGTGACCACTTGCCTCAAAGAACACGCTGTAGTTGTATTTAAAAAGTTTTTCAAGCTAAACGATCCGTTTTGGGCTAGTATGTGTGGCATTCTGAGGATGGGTGCATGCTTTTTGAGATGGCAGTATGGTATAAACACATGTGGATCATGAAGAAACGACAATAGGCATTGCTTGTCTGATGAAATTCATCCGTGTTTACTGCAAAAAACAACAACTGGAAAACGGAGTGATCAAGAAACAGGAAAATAGCAACTGGTCCTATTGTTTGGAAGCAGGAGAGTCCCAGTCTGCCTTTGCAATATATTCAACGTCCACCATAGTCCCATATCTCGATTATGACATCGATATTCCAGCTTCAATTTGACCCAAGATTGTCCCAAAAGTGGAAGACCAAGGGTGACTGCTCAGGACCGATTCATCTGGGTGTTTCACCTATGTCACTGATTTACTACAGCAACGGACACTGCAGGACAGTTACCTGGTCTTCGAATAATTTCCGACCAAACCATCAGAAATCGTCCTACAGAAGTGGGAATTCGAGCAAATGTTGGACCTGTCCTCAAACGACTACACCGACAGGGTACAGGTGCCGATGGTAGACATACCCGTTATTGAGCTTGTGACATGGTCGTTTGACCCCTGTCCCGCTTGTGGACTCGTGACGTCATTGTGATTGACTTTTCAATTGAAATTCCCCGACTTGTTATGGTCTCATGATCCCTCCATTACAGTTTATATGTACCTTTGACATTGTTATCGTACTTATCAACTGGGATAATGTTTTGACAATGCACAGTTTCTTTATGTGGCTAGTATATGTGCAAAAGTACTTGTTTGTGGAACCAGCCTTAAAACCTGTATATGGACAATCTTTTGAGATTGTGAGGGCGCATTCTAGATTAAACAACTGACTTATATTTAAAACTTCACATTCCTTACACTCGTGATGGTATTTAAAAATATTTAACTGATATGGGGTTATATATCTCGAACAAGGTGTGCATAACACATGGACTTTTCACACCCTGTGTCTAAGTATATAACAACCTCGTCTCACCTGAAATTGTATAGTCATGCAGGTTGTATCGGTGGTAGCGTTTGTTACGGTGTTGCTGTGGGGCGAGGTGCTCTCAGACACCACAGTCACCATCTACAACGAGTGGCTGTCCCAAGGTGGACGTGTTCATTATGAGGTGGACAGATGGAATAAACACAACGGTCTCGACAGGTCTAGTCTTTTCTCAAAGCTTAAAGCTATAGGTACCATGACAGGACGGTGGCTCAACAGAGATTTAAATGGAGGCCTCTTTGAGAATGTAGGTACCATTATGCCTTATTGTCACGACATCTAAAACCAACTATTCTTCTTTTAATGAACCTGATGAAGGGACAAAAATGTCGCTGCATATAATAAACAGTGAGTAAGTTCGGTTTAAATGCGCTTTGAATATTCCAGTATATACTGTGATAGGAAAGACATAATTAATGCAGGTCTCGGACCTCTAGTCTTGTTGATACCAGGTAAGCCACTCTTCAGAGAGAATTTGAATCGAAATGTTCTGCTTGCATACCAAATGCCAATTGCAAGTTGTGCAATTTTGGTACTTTCCAGTCTCTTTTCTGAGAGTAACCAGGCTTGCTCCTCTGACACTGTAAAGAAGAAGGCGGCAGTACTGGAGAGTCTTCATATTCTCCAAAATAGTCTTGGTGGGTTCAGTTTGTTAGGGCTTCTTGGGAGAAGCCCCACTCGCTCTTCTAGCAATGTGTGAAGGGTTCAAGGGCACTTGAGTTGAGGGTGTTTTATAGTTGAATGCCACACTCAGCAATATTCCTGCTGTATTGTATTTCGGTTTGGCGAAAAGCGATGACATCACGGACCAGCACGAGTTGATGACCGAAACTAGACTGACCGTGATACGATTGCCTGAACCCTCTTTGTTGGATTTACTTTATCTTATATCATTAATCAACAGTGGCACCAAAACCCATCTCACCATGGTTACCCAGATCCCCACTACCTTCAAGACCAAAGTCTGAAGAAGAGGACTTGGGACTACTATATGGAGCAGGTCCATGCTTATGGAAGCGGCATAAAGAATATGGTGTGGGAAATAAAAGGTAAGTTGTAAAGAAGAACCATACTTTTTAATGGACAATATTTATTAAAGCCGCTTGAAAGTGATCTCATCTTCTACGATTCTCCTGGCTGCCTGTTTGGTATTGTGTGCTTTTTTGAGTGAGTTTAGTTTTACGCTGCACTCAGCAATATTCCAGCTATATGACGGCGGTCTGTAAATAATCGAATCTGGACCCGACAATCCAGTGATCAACAGCATGAGCATCGATCTGTGCAAATGTGACAACCAAGTCAGCGAGACTGACCACCCGATCCCGTTAGGCGCCTCTTACGACAAGCATGGGTTACTGAAGATCGATTCTAACCCGGATCTTCAGGGTGCATGTTTTTAAAAGCCGGATATCTGAGAACTGTCTTTCAGTTCAAAACCTTTGATGCGCTATCCCCTTAACATGACGAATGTTTGAAAGGCGCTTGGCTCTGTGTTTCAATCCATATGCCTTTATGCATCTTTGCATCTTTGCATACACACCAGGAAGACACTGTCGGAATTATTTAATTTTTAGCGTTCAAAGGTTTACTTGAAAAGAGCGTAGTGATCGTGTCCAAAGCAGAACTCACAAAATGTTTCTGCTTTCACGGAGGCTGGCAGGTATGAAAAGCCCTAAAATAACCCTGAAATACACCCACGGCTCGAGACTGATCTTGTCAGTGGACGTCGAAATTAGTTTTCAATTTGCTGGTAATTGTATGTTTTATTCGTTGTTTATCTCGAACTCAGCAATATTCCCGCTTAGTGATGTCCGGACCAGACAGTACATTAATTGACATAATAAGCATCCGCCTATGCCGGTGGGATAGGAAAGCAAGAATCAACCAAGTCAGCGAGTCTTGGCCACCTGAACCCGTTTGTCGACTCTTACTAATAATGGGTTGCAGAAAATTCTAACCCCCATCTTCAGAACTCGCTCGCTTGCTAGTGAAGCATAACACGGTTAGGTATTTACGAACCTGGGCCCCGTTTCACAAAGCTCTCGTAGGCTTACGATACCTTAAATTTACAATAAAAATACGGTAAGTATTTGCTCTCGTAAATGAGCCATTAGCGTGGTATCGTAAGATATATCATAGGTGATACGAGATCTTAGGCTTACGAGAGCTTTGTGAAACGGGGCCCTGGGCCCTTATTCTCAAAACGTTCGTAGCCCGAAGAATTCTTAACTTTCATGCATGTGTTCAGAATGGGCTTAAGAAGTTCGTAGGTCTACCACCGTTTCGATAATAGCTAGCCTGGTTCGTAGTGTCAAGTCGACTGTCTGACGTCTTATGGAATCGGAGATCCTTCCCTCACTTGAATTAAAGTCTTAGTAAAACCTTAGTTATTTAACTGTATTTGAAATATGTGTCAGGACACAAACTTTGTACCCTGTGAGAGCACTTGTAGATATTTGGCTAGATATTAGATATTAACCCAAGATGGCTGAATGCCATTGATAAGCCTCCAGAAAAGTTGTGCAACGTTAACCACTGACTTCCAGATAAATAGTTTCTTCAGTGAATTTCTGTAATAACACCACATAGGAATGATGTGACTATCTTTCGAAACAGAAATAATAGGGCATGAAAATGGTCAAATATTTGCGAAAATCTTATGAATTGGACAGTGATGACACCAGGTGTTAACGAAAAGAGAACTGGTGGCCTCACGTAAACAAGTGTTTGTAGCCGAACCTCACACACAGATGTACGCGAACCAGACAATCGATAATTACTGCTGCTGACTGGTATTGAGGAAAACGTATACTGACTAGCAAAAAGACGCAACTCAGAGTTCATGAAAATTATACTTTTTCAGCATGAGATACTTTGATACTTTAACACAATTGTTTTGATTTCTTGAATTGCGTTTCTTTTGCTGGTCAGTATATTTCATGAGTAAACATTACTGACAATATCTACCTCAGGAAGGAGTGTCCACAAGCCTATATCAAAGCCTAGTTTCTACCCTTGCCATTTCACGCAAATACGTAACCATATCGCCAGTTCCTTTTTCGCATGGCTTTACAGAAAGCCACAGCATGCCATTTATTCCCTGGCAGACAAACGAAATGATAGATTACCACAGAAAAGTAACATGTTAATAAATACTGATTTTGTCAGAGGTTTTCTTGGTAGCGCACACAGGTATTATCATGTTGAACACATTTTGACAGTATTGACAGAATTCTTTAATCATGTGTAATGACACAGAAACTTAACTTTCTTGTAACACATACTCAAGCACATTAAGTCGCTAAAAACGTGGATAACGCAAGTCAGGTTGACAGAATGCACTAGTGACATTTGTCCAGTGACATTGACATACATGCTATTGATTAGAGTATCCATATTTTTCTGTTAGGTCTCAGCTGGCCCAGTTGAATTGACAAGTCCCACCATGGAGGAAAGTTCCCCAATAACCTAGATGCGGCGGCCGAGTTTGTGTCCTTGATGGTTCAGAGTGCCAAGGATTACACTGGAGGTCATTTGCCTGCATTCTTTGAAGTCATGAACGAACCCGACGCTTCTTATAAGATCCTCGACTCAACGACTGTGATAAACTTTCACAAAGCTGTGGCACAAAAGCTAAAATCAAGATTTGGGATCAAAGTTGGAGGCCCAACATACACTGGCTATACGATCAGAGCAGATGCAAATAATTTCAGCGTGTGGAAAAGAATGGCACAGTTTATGGACATGTCTCTGGATCACATGGATTTCTTTTCCTTCCATGCTTACAACGATCTCCATGTATCCTGGTGGAAGTCATTCGTTTTCTGGCATCAACGAGGCACGACTGGTTGGGGTGATTGACTTGATAGAAAACTATTCTCACATAAAGAAAGGAAGGAATGTTCCCATCATCGTCAGCGAGTTTGGTAGAGGTGGAGTTCATGGTATCAGCCAGGATGCTCATTCTGGCATTGTTGACTTTGCTACCCTTTACTTATCAAATGCACACATGTTTACTTATCTCAGCATGAGGGAGTACATGGAGAGAGTAGTCGTCTTCCTCTTGGCTATGGAGCAATATCCAGGACACTCAAGCCTCAACTGGTCTCTGTTCACTCCAGATGGGCATGAAACACAAATTGCAAATTTCTTCAAATTCTGGCACAATTTGTATTATGACCAGAAGTTCCTCAAAACCGCGAGTGATTTCACAGGGTCGGAAAGAGAAGTAGCACCTCTCGTTCTCGCGAATCCAAATAACAAAGAGATGATGGTTCTCCTTCACAACTATGGGACGAAGTGGCAGAATGTGAAGCTGGACTTCAAAAATGGCTGGATTAACCCAACAAGTGGTGAATCCACGTGTCTTCAGTACCAGAACGGCAACCCAGCAATGCATTCAAATGTCCACTTTGACACCAACAAGAACCATGGACGTGTCGGTCTCCCAGGAGAGTCAAGCTGCATCTACAAATTCAAGACCAACTACAACTTCGGAGGCCTGAAGACAAATAATGAGAAAACTTACTATGGAAAGAACATGGTCATCTCAATAAGTAACGGTCATGCTTCAACCACGGTCCAGGTGCAAGGATCTGGCTTCCACACTGCACGTCTCAGGGTTGGGGTGAGCAGAGACAAGAACGCTAATGGGAAACCTTTGAGCGTTACGGTAAATGGATATAAACTACCATCAACGTATATGCTGTATGATACCGACAAGACCAACGCCCCTACCAAATGGGAAGTGTGGGAATACTGGGTGCCTGCAGATAAGGTTCACTCTTCAAACACAGTCAGTATGAGCTTTGCAGGGGAATGGTGGCCATGTCAGCTCTGTTGCACTGATTGTTGGGAATCTTCATTAAAGAAATATTCAATCATACCTCTCTTGGGTTTTGTGTGTGGTGTCGATGTCCAATTTGAAAGTATATGTATCAAAGTCAAAAGTCAAAAAGGAGTTTATTTGTAACGAGGCCAAGGGCCCATATACAAGATATAACTATAAATAGTTAACAAGAGCATACAAATGAAGTCTAAAGTGTTTCTAAATACATAGTTCTTTTTATATATGCATAGTAAATGTAATACTGTACACGTCTGATTAAATTCTCCTGAGTTGCACATATCAGCCTTTTAAATTTATGGATAGAAGGGAATTTCCAAAAGTGTTGCGGAAGAAAAGTTATTCTTAATTCATTGTACAAGTGGCATATACATGTGAAATGACACTCATCCTCTACAGAGGTGTTGCAAATGGGACACAAACGTAAACCAGATTCGATTGATTGCCACCTAGCTTCATTATAACGTAGTGGCAAGACATTGCATCTGAATTTTATGTAAGTAGAGCGCACCTTTTTTTCTAATATGATATCCAGGTATCTTTCTGGTTCAAATATGAATTTATATTCTCTATACATCACATATCTAGAGCTGTTATTCAACGTGGAAGTCCAACTTTGAGAAAATTCATTTACCAATGATGTTTTAAACAATTGTACAAAATATACTGAGTCAAAAAAGAAAACTTCACATTCTTTCTTCAGGGCACTATAAAAGAACAAGAGATGGTAAGATGGTTAAATTGTTATTATTTCATTGCCGAGATCTGTGTGATGTACTCGATACACTGACAGTGCCATAATCAGTTCCATTAGGCTACACCGCAGTTCCAAAACATGGGTATACAGAATGTCAAGTCACAAGATGCTACATTTCTCAGTTCAATATCGTGTATGGCCGCCCCGCGCATTCACTACTGCCAAACACCGTCTCCTCATCGACTGCCTGATGCTTGTGAACACGTGGTTGGGGATTCTGCGCCATTGCTCTTGCAAGGCAGCGCCAAGTTCCTGCAAATTCTGGGGTTGGTTCCTAAGACCACGAAGCCTTCTCCCAAGTGCATCCCAAACGTGCTCTATTGGATTAAGGTCAGGGGACCTCGATGGCCAGTCCATGACGTTGATTCTAGCGTTTTGAAGGAAATTTCGTGTCAACATCGCGGTATGCGGCCGAGCATTATGATGCTGGAACATGAGCCGCCATGAAAGGAACGAGTTCAGGGGTGACCACCTGGTCGCGGTAAGCAGCAGCTGTGAAGTTTCCACGGATGACCAGAAGTCGGGAACGGTTGTTCCCACAGAAAGCACCCCACACCATGCAACTTCCGCCCCCGAATCTGTCGACTTCCTGTACACAACATTGGGCATACCGTTCACGACGTCGTCTCCAGACTCTATGCCTGCCGTCCGCGAATCTGAGGGTAAACCTGGATTCATCGCTAAAGACAATTCGATTCCAGTCTCTCTGGGTCCATCGGAGGTGACGTTGGGCCCACAGCAGACGTTGACGTTGATGAAACGGCGTCAATATTGGCCCACGATATGGACGTCGAGAATGGAGATTGGCAGCCCGCAACCGATTTCGAATGGTCTGTGAGGACAGTCGACCTCTAAACATCTCAGGCCTGGTTCGTGTACCCGGCAGAAATGTGTCACGTAGGTGACGTAGGACGATTTGACGGTCTTCTGCTCGTGACGTCACACGTGGACGACCCGACCTTGAGCGATCAGAAGTGGTCCCAGTTTGTTGTAGGCGACCTCGCAAGTCATACACAGTACGACGGCTGCATCCCATTGCTCTTGCGACGTCAATAACTGATCTTCCCGCTTGCAACATGCCAACGGCACGTTCACGTTGCACATTTGACAATCGTGGCATTTCAAGTACCGTTAGAACTGTGGTTTAAAAGTGTTTTTTCAATTCTTGAGGCCAATGCAAACACGTGCATATGAAGAAAACTTCGATGCGAAGATCACGCGATCGACTGCACGTGCAAAACCTGATTTGGCACTAACGTCATTTGCACGACGAATGGATGGGTTTGAGTGGGTTTTGCTAACGTTTTTCTTGAGTCGAAAAATAGGAATCCCATTTCGGATACATAGATGTATCATCAGAGAAAAATTATTCATTATTTTTCAAATTACATTTTGTGACGTTTCTTTTTTGACTCAGTATATATGTATGAAAATGTTGTACAATCCGAAAGTGGATTTTAAATTTCCTTAGCAACTAAATTAATATTAATTTCTGTGAAGGAAATACAATGGCAATATTAAATACCATGGAAGTACAAAGGCACTACAATATATAAACAAATGTGTGTGTGTGTGTGTGTGTGTGTGTGTGTGTGTGTGTGTGTGTGTGTGTGTTCGTGCGTGAGTACGTACGTGAGTACGTACGTGAATCCTCGTTTCAGGAGTACCGTATTTCTTCAAATTAGTGCCGGGTGTCTAATAAGCGCCGGGGGTAAACAACGGTTTAAGAAACAATTAATAACACCCAGTAAATAAGCGCCGGGCCTGTATTAAGCGCCGGGTCTGTATTAGGCGCCGGGTCTGTATTTAGCGCCACTCTGGAAGTCTCTTGAAAATATAAGCGCTTACTCGATAGAGGAAATACGGTAAGCGCTTCCTCGATAGAGCAAATACGGTATTCTTTATTCTGGAATATACTTTCTTTCAAAATTTTAGACTCACTAGTGTAAATTTAGCCTCTTACTTCGGGCAACTGTTCTAAACTAAATTTGCAAAATATTCCATACTGTTTTCACATGAACTGATGTATTGTAAAACAAATTTGTAATGTTGAAAAGATTATTGTCATGAGCACAATAAATGATTAAAATCAGTGAAAATTGGCGGATTCTTAACAAAACTTTACCCCCAAACGTAGATGTTCACATGCACGATATTTGCACATGCTTTTCAGCAATTTGATGCATGATCCTCGTGCAATTCATCTGCAAAAGGTTTGCAGTTGGTTCCTCCAAGTTAGTGGAGAAATCAATCTTCGATGTAACTTCAGTGTATGAAATAAGGCCCGTCCGACCGCCCGAGACGGGTTAGATATCAGACGGACGGCCTAGATTTACAGTTAGCTAACCCGAAGGTCTGGTAAAAAAATGAGATGTTATATACATCTGAGTCATATCTTAGTGTCAGGTCCGGTTAAATCCATTTCGGGCTGGTATAACATTTTGAAGTTACCAGCCCTGATGTCTGGCTGGGGTTTGGCTTATTTCATACACTGAATTATGTATATATATACACACACATAACATATGGTGTGTGTTTTAAGTGAGTCTAAACTTTTGAAAGGAAGTATATATCGGTTGCTTCAGAAGACTTGACTTTACAGTAACTATTACAATTACAACACTCTTGCAATGAATAAAACTCCCACTTATGTTCCTCTGGCCTTTTAGTGATACAAATTTATGCCGACGAGTGGAAGGAAACAGAATGGATTTACAGCAGATACCATTTGTGCATATAGAACAAAATAGTAAGACTTTAATGAGCTTAATCCACTGAAACAGTAACTTTATCTTTCCGGGTCGTTACATACAAGTAGAAACCACAAAACCCTTTCCATATTCATAAGAAATCTCTGCCAAAAGCAGAGTCGATTGTACAATTGTGACTATATCATGAGCAGATATTTGTTTCAGCAGTATTACAGCTGTATGATGTTGTTTGTAAACAAATCGGGTCTGAACCAGACAATCCAGTGATTGTCACCATGCGATACGATGTTGATGAATCACTTTGAAATAGTGATGATACCAGGTGTTCGCGAACAGGTGAGCGTACCCACCGGTGGCACCCGTCATAAACATATGCTTGGTCTAGTCATTTGTTCACCTGAAATACTTTGGGAAAGTATGGTACAAGTCAAAATAGGGAATTGGATCCGACTTCAATTTTGTCACTGATGCATGAAATTTCGAAATTTCCTCCACATGTCTACCATACAACTTCTTGAAAGCTTTACTGATGCCTTGAATGTTGTAACCTTGATCAAACATCTTCTCAGCAAGAGTGGCATGAAGCTCTTTGAAATCCTGATAAAAAGAGCACGCTCGACTGTACCTCAAAAGTTGTGAATAAGTTGTATCGGAAGTTTAAGTTAAACTTCTCGGCCAAATTACCTTGTTTTGATTTAGTCAACCCAAGCAGAAATTCTGATTCATATTATGCATAAAGAAACAGATGTGCAAGGAGGGGTGTCTTACTTCTTGGCGAAATATTGTATCCCCAAATTTCAGAAAGATGTTATCAATGAGAAAGTCCAGAAACATTATTCACACAAACGTACTGAATAATATAAAATACATAATTTATGGTTGTCATCGTATCCCAAATGCGTAGATCTATGCTCATGATGTTGATCAACGGATTGTCCGGTCCAGTGTCGATTATTTACAGACCGCCGCCATATAGCCGGAATATGGCTGAGTGCGGCGTAAAACAAGCACAAACCAACCGTTCTATTCCTCCCCCTATCCTCACTATCGGTTCTGGCACTTGCCCTCCCTTACAACTTCTCTCAGGTATTGATAAACACATGTCACAGTCGGTGGTTGTGAAGTTGTTTAAGTGTTCTTAACACTTTTTGCGACCTAAATGCACATTACAAATTCACAATTGTCAGTAGCTTATATTCAGTTGCCGTAATCATATCAGTCAATATTGGGTAAATGCTGATGCGACAAGTTCAATATACTTCAACGTGATGAGCACTATATATCCCCTACGGCAACTGGGGGGAAATCGGACTATATTTTGCAGGCGACAAATGAAAAACATAATTTGTAAAGAAAAGATCGAAGTGTGTAACCGTTATGAATATTTTCAATCTATTTTATGTTTTGCGTGCACTTTCGATAAATAAATCAACACTTTTCGATCAAATAACTCACCACAAATATATTGAATAAAATAACATATTTCTACTTGTCACGAAACATCACACCTTCCATTCGTGGGTCTGCATTTAAGAAGGTTGTATTAAACATATGCAGTAAGAGCATTATTGTAGTTAAGTTTCAAATCAACTCTCTCTAATCCTTGATTCATGTTGGAAAATAATTAAAAATATTTTATATTACTTTACTATATAACAATCTTCGTTTTTTGTCATGATCATGGCAAAGATGCTTTTTGTAAAATGTTGTCCCATTTACCCATTCATACAGCACATATATTGACAATGTTTCCGTCGATTGTCTTTATGCAAGGATATGCTTTACGGTGATGTAACGAATAAAAGAAACACACGCATGGGACAGTACAATTGATTAAACCCATCTCAATACACAAGAGTATAGTCAGACAGGTTCCAGTCTGGTACGTAAGGATGAGGCTGATTGGGGACCATACTTGCAACGCTACTACACCAGTGAAGTGGGCGACGTTATCCTCCCAGTCCAATTGTTGAAGTAGTTGATACAACTGGTGGTAGTTCTGTGCTGGAAGATGCCTAAAATAGGATTTATCTGTATGATATGGTGCTTGGCAGCAGTGTCACATTGCGGTAAGTATTGTTTCAACATACATGGTGCTATCAAAAAGTAATGAGCCTCACTAAGAAAAGATGCAAATGCAGCTGCTTCTATGTTTTACTTCTCTACATAATATCTGTCAACTTCAAGCAAATTGATTTTGCTATGTTCAAGTCTCACGAAGCCCATTTTGTTTGACTTGATATCTTGGTGATATTACATGCAATAAAAACACCTATCAGTTACTCGTACTTGGGCTGTCAGTCCAAATTTGAAGAGGTCATTGTACGACGGTGTCGTATTATCCACTGCAGATCACTCAAGAATACCCCATGGGATGAAAGACGGTCAAGCATATCCTGCCTGACTGTGTTGATTTTTCTATCACAAGGGATAATTATTTCAATGTAAAAACAGTCATGGATACTTTTACTAAAGGTAATTTTCATTATTTATATTTTTACAAGGACTAGAGTTATTTGGAAAATGTTAATTAACAAATTTGGTAGACAGATGTATGACATTTTATAAATAGCAGATTAAATTAGCAACTGCGCGCACGTTGATCAGTTAAGTAGTTCGACAATGAACAATCGTCTTTAGTTTTAAACCCGTGAAGATCCTGATTAGAATTGGTCTTCAGCAACCCATGCTTGTCGAAAGAGGCGACTAACGGGATTGGTTCACTTGGTTGACACATGTCATCGTATCAGAACTGTCGATGCGCATGATGTTGATCACTGGATTGTCTGGACCAAACTGGATTAGTTACAGGTAGCTGGAATATTGCTGATTGCGGCGTTAAACAATCAAACAAACAAACTTTCTTTTCCACAATACTGAACAGCGTGTGTATGTGTATGTGCGGCTGCTTGTACTAGCCCAGACTGAAGCTGGTTTTATAGTGCTAGCCCACTGAGATACCATACCACAGTGAAGCATGAATACCCGACTCAGACACATTAAACTGACTCCGAGCCGACCAGTCCTTGTTGTACCCATTAATGCCGAGCGCCAGGCAGGGACCAACAAGTACCATATTTTAACGTCTTTTGGTATGACGCGGTCGGGGATCGAACCCGCGACCTTCCGCTCTCCGGGCGGACGCTCTAACCACTACACCACGGAGGCGGTTCACTACATAATGTGATGAGAAGAGGCATCTCCATATCCACTTAAAGATAGTGTGACCGTGATAACATTCATTCCTTCACATCCTGATGGGAAGGTGATCAGTTTGTCAACCACGCATAAAGGACATTTATACATCGTCAGCATTGGCTGTATGTTTCATATATGTGGATTATACATGGCGTAAGAGTGAGTGAGGGAGTATGGTGTTACGCCGCTTTTAGCAATATTCCAGCAACATCACGGCGGGGGACACCAGAAATGGGCTTCACACATTGTACACATCTGGAGAGTCGAACCCGGGTCTTCAGCGTGACGAGCAGACGCTTAACAATTAGGCTACCCCACCGTCCCACATGGCATAAGAACATGTTCAACAATATCATTGGCTAACTCGCCAGAATCGTCTAAGACTTGCAACAAAATATCCATAATCCTTTCTTCATTTTTATATGTATTCAAGAGACAATACACCAATCCATACAGTGTGCTACATATTTATAGGATTTCCTGTTGGCAAGACTACACGTACAAAAGACAGAAAAATATAATCATCATCGTTCCAGGGGAGAATGTTGTAATATTGAAAAAATCAATAACAGACTCAGCAGGATGAGTCTTTTTACAATACAACAATACACGATTCGTTATGTCATACGACCCACTGAAACATCGTATACTGCAAGTGCTAAGATATATATAATAAACAAGTCATAGAAGTGATCCAGGTTTTCAATCGTTAATAACCAAGCCTGTGTAACTAAGGTGATCTCACAAAACTTTCAAAGTACACTTAAACTTACCAACATTTATAAAACGTAGTAATTTGGGGATTTTAATTTTGGCTAAATTTACCTGCACTCGCCAGCTGCTGAAGGGATGGTGTGAAGCCAGCTAGGGTCCATGCAGGTAGCAAAGACACTGTAAGTCGCCATCGTCCCTGGTATGGGGATCTACCTTCAGTTGTTGGCGATCTATAGCCCATTTAACAGTTTACTATTTCATATGCTCCCTAACTAGTTTTAAATAAAATGTGATGTACTAGTTGTTGTAATGTCCTTTGGCGACAAGATTTATAACCTTTAAATATATTTCATACTTCATTATTGCTGTATAAGGTACTCTCGTCATGATATGGCTGAAATATTGCCGATGTGACGATTAATTTTAACTCACTCACTTGGGTGATCGGATAGGAGAGCGTCCTGTAAGTGTTTCTCAAGAATAACGCTCTGTGACAATTACGTGGTAATCAATTGCTCTTTTAGCACGACCTTGCTCTTTTACGCGAACAGCCCATGCATGCATCAGGAAACATACGAGGAGGAATAGATATTTATGTCATTATTTAGTCCATACCTATTTACTAGTAATGACGTGGTGTGAGGGTAAGGTATTGCATATATCATCACTTTGTTAGTTGATACGGCTCGTACTGAATAGGTCTGTGCTGTAAAAGTCTTTTAAATACAAAGTTAGTATCACAATTACATACGAGGGGATATCAAACAGTTCTAATTATCACCAAAACTTATACAGGATACAAACTTTATTTTGCTTTCATGTCCTTATGATTTCTCTACATAGTCACCATACCGAGTTACACATTTCTGCCACCGTTTCTAGACCTTGCGCAGACCGGCTGAATAGAAGTCCCCTGATTTCATGCACCTTGGCCTTTTTCGGAGGTGATGACGTGGCATGTTTCCACTCTTTACTCATCACTTTTGTCTCAGGATCGTACAAATAGACCCAACATTCGTCAATGGTTACAAGACATCTTTAGAAATCCTCTTCACCCTGCTCCAGAAGCTCCAATGCCTGTCGTGACATGTCCCGTCGAGTCTGTCTTTGAAGATGAGTCAGTAAGCGAGGAACCCAGCGTGCTGACACTTTGGACATGTGCAGTTGGTTATGAATGATGTTCCATGCACTGCCATAGCTCAAGTCGGTCTCATGCATAACCATTTGTATTGCTGCACGGCGATCTTCCTGAACCAGCTCCTCGAGTTTGTTCACGGTGTCCATATCATCAAAAGTGAGGGGCGTCCACTTATTGGACCACTTTGGAAATTCCTTTTCGATGTCACAACAGTGTCATAGGATGGGCTACCATCACCATAAACAGATTTCATCACAAGAACTTTATTACACTGCGCGCTTCAATCTTCTCCATACTAGGGGGGAACTGGTGTGTATGATGATCTAGCACAAGACTGAATATAGGGAAGTAGATAGTACTTGGTCCATTAACTAGATCACTGATGTTACAGTCAAACTTTTATCATGAATGCTCAAAAACTTCTTGGCGATAATTGGAACTTTTTGATACCCCCTCGTAGTCTTCCAAGGAGTATAAGAACGCGTTGGTTAATGTACGCCTGGGAAAAAGTAACCCTAGGCAGTCTCTGGTAAGTAGGGAAGACGTGCGGTTGGACAAACTATGTACAGAAATGACATTGGATAATTGCAAGTATTACGTATTTCTTAAATGACAGTTTAAACCACACATTGCAAGCATATGCTCCACATTGTAAGTTCAGCCTTTCCCATTTACGAAGAGCTGGGACAGTATTTACACCACCGACATGTAGATCAAGATTGTAATGTTTTACAAACGTTCTGCATTTTTCACATTGTAATTGGATAGAGTCTCAGTTATTTTTGGATGACCTTAAACGCAATCAAGCATTAGTCACATTGTCCTTTTAAGAAGTACTTATGTGCCTACACACACATGCAAACAGATGTGCAAATGTTCACAAATAATAGAAAGGGTACCTTTACTGGCATTAGGGCTGCACTGAGTTTCTCATCGCCCGACCGACCCTTCTAATTTATTGCCGACCCTCCCCTAAAAAAACCCAAAACAACGACAACAACAAAAGTAAATAAACAAAATTAAAAAACAACTTTTTTGTTTATTCCAACACCACCGACTCGAACCTAAAACGTACCGACTCGTCATATAAAATGTTTATCTTTTAATCAGTCGCTGCCACAAGTCCAAAAACGCCAGGAATTGTAATAAGAATTACAATAAATGAGAATCAAGAACATTATTCAGATAATTTTGTTTATTTCCCGACCGACCGACCCATGTTCAGAATTTGGTGGCTAAGTGAAACACATAAAAAATTATGCCCATATATATCAAATCCCATCCGTTAGCGAGTGAGTGAGTTTAGTTCACGCCGTACTCAGCAAGATTACAGCTATATGGTGGCGGTCTGTAAATAATCGAGTCTGGACCAGACAATCCATTGATCAAAAGCATGAACATCGATCCACGCAATTGGGATAAGATGACATGTGCCAATCAAGTCAGCGAGCCTGACCACCCGATCCCGTTAGTGGCCTCTTACGACAAGCATGGGTTGCTGAAGATCAATTCTAACCCGGATCTTCAGCAACCCATGCTTGTCGTAAAGTGTATATGTAACACTGAGCAGTCATTGTAATCCTGTCATGCGAACTGCGTTAAACGTGGCATCTGCCGCAAGGTTTACCCCATGGGAGGCACAAACCGCACCCTGAGTTATCAACCTTTAATACAAGCCATCGGTATACAGCGTAAATAACAATGCTTATAGGACACGACCTTGACAACACCTTGTTTAGCACGAAACACATTTGACATAACAACTCCAATATTTATACATGACTTCATTGACGTAAATACAGTGCATAAGAGTCGCCAAAACTTTCCTGTAATACCAACAACGCAACATATTTTTAAACGCCCCTTAAGACAAACTCAGTCGAAAGCATTTCATTGTCGAGAAAAGCGCAGTATTGTGGTGAATTGTGTTACAATAAGCTAGGTTTTATGATTTCCAGTAGTGTAAACATGACAGTTTCTTCCTATGGAGGGGCGGTGGGGTAGCCAAGTGGTTAAAGCGTTCGCTTGCCACGTCGAAGGCCCGGGTTCGATTTCCCACATGGGTACAATGTGTGAAGCCCATTTCTGGTGTCCACGGCCATGATGTTGCTGGAATATTGTTAAAAGCGGCGTAAACCCACATTCACTCACTGTTCCCATGGACCTCTCCAAAATCCAAACTGAAAGACCAAATATGGCCTTTAGATGTGATTGCCCATTTTTCAGTTTTGTTTTTCTAACGGTTTACTATTACAGGAAGGGGTGAACGCCTATGAATTTAGAATGGTTATCTTTACTTTTACGTATAGGTAAAACGTTTCCAACATTTAGCATTTTTGGTTCATACTCGTAAGAGAAATTCATTATAAATGCGACTAGGCGATAATAATTAATCTACCAGAATATGTTTACTAACTATACCATCCAAGCTTGGCGACTGTCCGTTTCATAGTTGTCACTCACCCATCATATATAAATGGGCATAACTATATGGAACTTGCATAATCAATGAAATGTTAGTGGACCTAAGTATTGATATCATTATTTGACATCGACAAATTATGTATTTGGGAAACAGATTGCAACTATCTGCGTGTGTAATACTGTACTTTATTGTACACAAGCGTCTAGATATGCTCCTTCTTTCTTTCATACCTTGTGACTTTGAATTTTAACTCACTCACTCACTCACTCTTTCATACCTATTGTTTACTCTAAAACCCTCTCCTTTATCAACTAACCGCCTCCGTGGTGTAGAGGTTAGAGCGTCCGCCCGGAGAGAGGAAGGTCGCGGGTTCGATCCCCGACCGCGTCATACCAAAAGACGTTAAAATATGGTACTTGTTGGTCCCTGCCTGGCGCTCGGCATTAATGGGTACAACAAGGACTGGTCAGCTCGGAGTCAGTATAATGTGTCTGAGTGGGGTATTCATGCTTCACTGCGGCCTGGTATATCAGTGAGCTAGCACTATAAAACCAGCTTCAGTCTGGGCTAGTACAAGCAGCCGCACATACACATACACACGCATGCTCGTCGTCATATAAGCAAAATATTCTCAAGCACGACGATAAACCCAATTTCACCTCACCTCACCTCCTTTATCAACTACAACTGTTTCATATATTTCCTACAACTAGTGGTCTTTCAGCTCCTGTGTGGGAAGGTTGATCGGAAAGAAAGTCAGTCATAAGTTGAAAAGGCACAACTGTAGCTAGGAAAAAAGTCACAATAACCAATTTTATTAAATTCAATAAGTTATGTTAATATCATCATGATCATAAATCATTCATTTAAATCAAAATTACAAATAATAAATTCAACCATTCATTTATTTAGATAATGGACATTGATATAGTCCTCACGGTATTTCTAGCTTAGAGATATTTGAAAGACCACTTTATAGATACGTTTTGCTTATATTTTACTCTGTGTAATCGGCATCGTCTTTATCATGGAATTTGCCACCATAAATCCATTCTTTTCGACATGATTCTAAACAACAAACTAACAAATAGCTTTTCATGGACATACGAGATAAGTTGAATGGGGTTTGACATTGCGTTAGCGATCATGCAAGGCACTTACTAGCAGTTACGATTGCTGCATTTACGTAGAGGGGATGGGCATATGGGAGAATAAGATACAGTCATGTGTTATCCTTCGTTAAGAGATGGAGTTTCCACAGCATTGCTTGCATTCTCCACAGAAATATATGCATCCAAGGTTGAATGCACTCGTCTTGAGCACTAATTAATTAACTTAGCTTGTTTCTTATCGTTTATGCTCTCGGGAAATATCAAATTGAACAACTAAGCAAGTGGAACTAGTTACATACCTGTGTACCTCAGCTCGGTCTGAACGTGCTGTCACGCATATACGCACATGTCACACGCTATGTGCGCATGTCACAGCCTATACGCACTTGTCATTGTCTCAAGGCCAATGTCAACGTGAAGATATGTACATAGCAATCACGGTATGTGTTGTTTGTTGTGTAATGCCACACTCAGCAATATTCCACCTATATGGCGGAGATATGTAAATAACCAAGTCTGGACCAGACAAACCAGTGATCAACAGCATAAGCATCAATCTACACAACTAGGAAACGATGACATGTGTAAACCAAGTCAGCGAGCCTGACCACCCGATCGCCTCTCACAACAAGCATGGGTTGCGAATGATCAATTAGGGATCTCACGGGTATTACGGTATGTACACATCATGATCAGGACCTACACGCACTTGTCAATATCTGTACGCAAGTGCCCTGGTCTCTACACTCTTGTCCTTGTTAATGATTGTACGCCAAAGTACGCACGTTTCTGTCGCAATGTGTGAGTGAGTGAGTATAGTTTGACGCATCTTTTAGTAACATTACAGCAATATCACGGCGAGGCCACCAGAAATTGGTTTTACACATTGTGCCCATGTGGGGAATCGAACCCGGATCTTCGGCGTTACGAACGAACGCTTTAACCACTAGGCTACCCCTCCTCCCCTGTCATGATGTGTTCAATAATAACGAAGTGAGGTGAATTTAACGTCGCACTTAAGAATATTTCGCTCATATTACGACGTGCATGAGTGTGTGCGGCTGCTTGTAATAGCCCAGACTTTAGCTGGTTTTATAGTGCTAGCCCACTGAGATACTATGCCACCGTGAAGCATGAATACCCCACTCAGACACATTATACTGACCAGTCCTTGTTGTACCCATTAATGCCGAGCGCCAGGCAGGGACCAAAAAGTACCACATCTTAACATCTTAAGATCTTTTGGTATGACGCGGCCGGCGATCGAACCCGCGACCTTCCGCTCTCTGGGCGGACGCTCTAAGCACTACACCACGGAAGGGGTCTCAACGATGTGACGACCTGCACGCACTTGTCCAGTCACGATCTGTGATATGGCTGAGATAATGCCGATGTGACGTTAAATCTTAGCTCACTCGCTCACTTTAACAACGCTGAGATACAATCCAACAAGCTCTTTCTGCGAAGATCTAAGAATGTGATGTCCGATTTTTGCACAGACGCTATTTTATCACTTTTGCAACATTTAAGACCTCAGTGATGTTTGACGTAAACTTAGCCGCAACAGTGACGAATATAACGTCCGATTGAATTCCATGTTCGTCGCTAACGCGTCAACCATATTTCTTGTGTGGTTATACCAGTGACTAATTGAATTTCCTTTGCGTGTGTTTGTGACGCGTGCTACCGGTGAGACAGGATACGTTCACTCTTTCAGAATTTTATAACCAGATGCTTGCGATAAAGTGGAGTAAACTGACTGTACTTTTAGTAGAGATGAATATGCGTTATGATTAAAATATGAAAAGGGTATCAGTTTTGTCGCTTTGTCTATTTGAAGTTTTACATTTAAAGCCGAAATTTAAATCATACCTTATGTTTCTTAAGCGTTTCTACGGTTTCTTTCAGCAGCACTCGGACGGTTCTCCTCGGAAGGAAAACATAGGCCTACTGCCAAGATTTGAGCCTCTGAACAGTAAGAACACCGTCGATGTATTCTCCAGTATTTTGTATACACATAGTCTTCACTTAGTTACTTCGCAGAACTACTCATTATATCATAATCCTTATATCGAAATGTTTTATAAAAATTGATCTTTCTACTTGTTGAATAATTTCATTAACATGCCACATGATCAAAGTTATAGATGAGGTGAGGTGAAATGGGTTTAACGTCGTACTTGAAAATATTTCGCTCATATGGCGACGTGCATGCGTGTGTATGTGTATGTATATATGTATGTGCGGCTGCTTGTACTAGCCCAGACTTAAGCTGGTTTTATAGTGCTAGCTCACCGACATACCAGGCCGCTGTTAAGCATGAATACCCCACTCAGACACATCATACTGACTCCGAGCCGACCAGTCCTTGTTGTACCCATTAATGTCGAGCGCCAGGCAGGGACCAACAAGTTCCATATTTTAACGTCTTTTGGTATGAGGCGGCCGGGGATCGAACCCGCGGCCGGGGATTGAACCGCTCTAACCACGTGCACTACACCACGGAGACGGTTGATCAAAGTAACAAATGACATGTTTGGAATGCAGATATATCGAGTAATGCATCAATTATTCAGTAACATTGCGATATTACATGTCGGGCTTGTTTAGCAAAGTAAAGCACAGTTGTGTCGAGCGTACGGTTATCTCGAAATAATAGCTTGTTGCCTTGTTTTCTGTATCACACAACTCGAAATATTTACGTAGGTCCATTTGACACAACGGTGTTTGTAGATTTGTTTTGTGTGAGTGAGTGAGTTTAGTCTTACGCCACTTTTAACAATATTCCAGCAATATCACGGCGTGGGACACCAGAAATGGATATTTGTTTTGAATTAACTCTTGAAAATGTACAATGTATCTGTCTAAGGGAAGTAATCAAATGATGCTTTGACACCCACAGGACATCGCTGGAGTGAATAAGTCAATATTTTACGGCGCATCAGCAAAATTTAAGGGGAGTTTCTTGAAATACAGATGTCTTCATTGCAGTATTAATTACAACTATAAAATAAGTTTTTTTCCTTTATATAATTGTCTATTTACAATTCTGTATGGTGTGTATCCAATGCCATACGATCAGTGAAGGTTAGAATTGGTCTTCAGCAACCCTTGTTTGTAGTAAGAGGCAACTAACGGGACTGGGTGGTCAGGTTCGCTGACTTGGTTGGCACACGTCTCCCATTTGCGTAGATGGATGTCTATACTGTTGATCACTGGAGTGTCTGGTCCAGACTCGATTATTTACAGACTGCCGCCATATAGATGGGATATTGCTGAGTGAGGCGTAAAACAACAAACAAACAAACTAATCAACCCCAAACCATGTCGTTTTCTATTTGGTCATACCCCATAAAATATTAAGGACATCATTCCAACCGGTCCTTTATGGGCATGATGATATTTTCTTGTGTCGTCACCATTTTTTCAGCCTCCTTTGGAGATTGTTCGGAGAGCTCGATGGACTTGGTTATGCTACTGGACTCGTCTCGTAGCGTCGGTGCCAACAATTTCCTTCGTCTTAAAGAACTCATGATAGAAGTGGTCACGGCTATCAATATTGACGATGGAAAGGTCCGTGTTGCAGTGGTCACCTTCTCCACATCCTCCGCCGTTGAATTCTTTCTGGATGACTTCACGTCAAAGAAAGATGTTCAAAAGAAGATTAAAGGCATGGTTTATTTAGAAGGATATACAAATATTGCCTCCGGTCTCTCTTTGGTCAAAGACGATGTGTTTCAGGTGAATAAGGGGGACAGACCCAGCGTCAGGAACGTCCTGCTGCTTATAGTTGATGGACCTTCAAATCGAAATTCATCCTTAACCATACCTACGGCCATGCTGCTAAAGGAATCGGGGGTCCATGTCTTTGTTCTCGGCATACAAAGCGCTGACGTTGATGAAATTACGGGCATCGCCTCCGACCCAACCGAGATCAACTGTATCAAGGGACAATTTGATGATCTTGAGCACATAGAAGAATATCTATTCAAAACTATGTGCACAGGTAAGTCTATTGTATGTATTTGGAGTGAAAGCGGCGAAAGTAGAATATCCGGGAGCTTGTGTAGCTAAAATCCTTTCGTTATTGATGTCTTGTCTTTTGGGGTTTAATCTTCTTATTGACGAATATTGATTGTACTGATAGTATCTCATTTCAGTTGATACACATGAATGAAATATACCCTTAGCCTGAAAATGTGGTCTTATGTGTGTGCTGAAACTTGCCATCATGAAATATATGATTGTAATTTCTCAGTAAAACTGCCACCACATTCTATTTACTTGTTTCTTATATATCTGGAGAAAAGTGAAGATATTGATTGTTATGTTTCAAGGTGTCGCTCGTGCTGAGGCAATGTCGTCGGCTGTGTCAACAACGGCACCCACAACACCAGACGTGCCTAGCTCAAGTTGGAATGGTGCGTTCGTCACGTAATGTATTAAGTTGAACATATTTATAAAGACTTGACTATGTCAATAAAGGCTGTTGGAAATCACCCTAATTACAAGTTAATGGTACAGAATATAACATGCTTGTTTAAAATTCGGGAATGATGTGTCTTCCGTTAATTTATAAATAATACATGACTGTCATGTTTTACAACGATTAAGTGTTTAAATCACGATGGCTGAAGTCACTATGGGTACACTCTAACAGTGGCACATGTTTGGAATGGAACCTAGTAATTCACGGCGCCATGCAAATAATTGTAACTGCATGCTTCCCCAAACGCCCCAGTGTTGTATATGAATCAGTCGTTATCATACACACGTATTAACCCCTGAAGATCCGGGTTAGTTTTGGTCTTCAGTAACCCATGCTTGCCGTATGACGGGATCGGGTGGTCAGGTTCGCTGACTTGGTTGACACATTTCATTGTGTAGATCGATGCTCATGATGTTGATCACTGGATTGTCTGGTCCAGACGCGATTATTTACAGACCGTCGCCATGTAGCTGGAACATTGCTGAGTGCGGCATTAAACAACAAACCAACACAAGTATTACAAATAATCTCCACTGTCAATATCAAGGACATGACATTTGCATCTTTGGCGCCATATTTGCAGGGGTGACAACAACTACGGATACGACACCTACCGGTACTTCGACAACTTCACCAGAAACGACAACCACATCAAAAATCATTTCTACGACAAAAACAGCGGAGGGAACGGCCATCACAGGTTCTACCGCGTCTGACACAACAAAGACCTCGACAACTTCAGCAAGAGCGACAACTACAGAAGCAACGTCCGTGCATACGACACGTGCCGGTAATACCACGCCTTTCACGTCAATAACCTCGACAACTACAGCAGGATTGACGGCAACAGACGCAACACCTCTCTTCACAACAACTGAAGGCACAGGTTCCACCACCCCTGTTACTTCAGCGGCAAAGGACACAACACCAACGTCCTTCTACACGCTACCTACGGGTTCTACCACCCCTTCAACATCAATGAACTCGATATCTACAACAGGGGCGACCACGACAACAACAACAGACACTATCAACCCTGCCTCAACCACGGCCTCGGTACCAGCACCTGGATTGACAACGGATGGGTCAACGACTACAGGTAGCACAATGTATTACAAGGTTTTTCAAAACATAAATTTACCCACCCAAAGAGATTACAGCACCTGCAACTGTGTATAATGATTCGTGCTAAAGTAATCACAACCTAGAGAAATGAACACACCGTTTTCGCTATTAAGATAATCACTTATACCCGTACCAACAATCTACCCTGTTCTCTAACCCCCGAATATTTACAGGTTTCAGCACATCCAATGCTTGTTACCGCCGGTGTGACCAGGCGGCAGCCTATACTCCAGAGATTACCGATGACATCTTCAAAGATCTCCAACTGCCCAAACGGGAACTGTCCAAGCAGATCGACAAGAGGACATCTACATCCAACCTCTCCAAGAGTGAAATGGTGACTGGAATGGGAGTGTCTCTTGTCCTGTTGGCTCCATTTGTCTGCCTGGTCGGATGGGACGTCCTTGACTTCATCAGATACATCGACAGAAGGTTCAGAAACAAAGACAGGCAGGGATTCTATTGAACATATACACACGTTTCCCCAATTCCATGTCCGAGTCGCTAAGGCTAAAAAAAATACTGATGCGACTTGTTATTGTTACTCGCTCAGTAGGGGCGGTAGGGTAGCCTGATGGTTAAAGCGTTCGCTCCTCACGCCGAAGACCCGGGTTCGACTCCCAACATGGGTACAATGTGTGAAGCTCATTTCTGGTGTATTTCTTGAATATTGCTAAAAGCGGCGTAAAACCAAACTCACTCACTCAGTCATTACTCGCTCAGTATCCGAATATGTTTTGGAAAACCGCGTCAAAGGGGATACAGATTTGGGAATAGTTCGTTTTTAGATCACAAGTTCAAATAAAGGCGCTGATTATATGCAAATAATCCAGAATGCAATTTTTATTTGGTAGTCATTTTGTTTCTGTTGAAATGAGTTCATTTCATACACTCGGTAAATCTGATCGCTCAGAGAAATACCAGCGTGCTCTCTACAGGAACACCTTTCATCACTGATTTTCATGATCCAAATATATTATCACTACTATTTTGCCTTTTAGGCACGATGGAATCTTTTTTCGAGACCTAAACAAGATCGAGTGTTCTCTTGTGTGGATATATATTTAGTTCTTGTTTCCAAGACTGACTGACTGAGTTTAGTTTTACGCCGCTTTTAGCAATATTCCAGCAATATCGCGGCGGGGGGAACCAAAAATGGGCTTCACACATTATACCCATGTGGTGAATCGAACCCGGGTCTTCGGCGCGACGAGCCAACGCTGTAACCACTAGGCTACCCCACCGCCCCTTGTTTCCAAGAAAGAGCTGAACAATGCCAACCCCGCTTTTGGATCTACATACTGTTGTTATTAGTATTTGACAACGTCATCTGTTACATCGTTATACATGGTATACGTTTGCACTGCACAACAGTAAGCCGATTGCACCCATTCCACTTTTATGTGCGCGTATGTCTACACACACTCAACGCGGCTGAAGTTTTAAAATTGCGGAATCTACGATTTTTTTTTTTAGAAAAGATAAAAACATAATTCTCACTTCAAGAACAATCTGGGCGGACCGACATGTCTTGGTAACGTTATGATCTTACTGGGTCCTGTCTATTTATTGTACTATAAAATGTACCGTGAACTTTGCAACAAATGCACAACGTGAAAGCTGACTGTGTAAGAAGGAAGAGGTCATGAAAGATCTTGGATGCATCGCCTCTCATTGTTCCCTACATCTCATGAGGTACCGTCAGAGTGAGCAAGGGAGTACAGCTACACCAGAAGATCTGTTCAAGCAGATCGCAAGGAAGATCCTCTTCACTTGTTTTTGTTTGTGATTCACTGTGACTTGAAATTGTGGTTTAAGATAATGTGCCTCGTACAAAACTCATTGTATGAATATGCAGAGAGCAATGGGTTAAAGTTACTTGGTAGAATTAGGCATTGGCAACCTGATTCGCACCGATTTTTTTCACCTGTTTGTTGATCTATTTATGTGTGCATATAATATAGACATTCTTATTATTTAAACTATAACCAAGGGCTTCTGGCCAAGACTTTTTACCTTATGTACATGTACATGTATATTGATAACATGATATCGTTCAGTAATGGTCACATAGTCAATTACATTCCACTGGTTTCCCCGCTTGGTCCTGCAATACGTCTGTTATGTACATCAATGCAAGATGCAGAGAGACAAAATGTCTCAAGATTGCACGACAAAGGATTGACTCAGCTTTTCCCAAATATTGAGAAGTGTTACAGCAGTTCCACCCTTTCGTATCTTCGTTTCACATGCTGATTTTACGAACGTTTCATACGACTCGTGTTAACAATTCTTTCAAAAGAGATACAACGTTCGAAACACCAGCAGAGTTGATTCATTTGAGACTAAATTTATGTTCGGTGCAATTACCTGTTTGACTTGTACAGTCTGTTTTAATTGACTTGTCTTTGCACGTGTTGGTAACGAGTGCCACCAGCGCGACAGGATATGCTAAACGTTTCACTAAAACCTGGAGTCAACACTATTGAACAGTGTGTTAAGCTAAGCTTCAGCAATATTCCAGCAATATCACAGCGGGGGACACCAGAAACGGGCTGCACACATTGTACCCATGTGGGGAATCGAACCCGGGTCCTCGCCGGGACGAACGAACGCTTTAACTACTACCCCACCGCCCCACTATCGAACAGTGATTCCTGAAGATATGGATGTTTATGATGTCGTTGAAATGAAATGAAATGTCTGTACTTTTGGAATATGTTTCTCAAAAGATTCACACTGTTAAACTGTAGGATGTTAAGGATGTGCATAGTTATCTATGTACTCCTCAGAAGGCCGGCTCTTCTTACGGCTGCACTAGTAATAGACTACTTCTGCACTATGTATTTACTCTAGTACAAATAAAACGGAATGTAACTGCCTGCTTTTCATCATGGTTACATACATCTTTAGTTCCGGTCTGCGAAGTATATGTGTGTGTACATTATTTTGAGGTTGTGTGATACGTTGTGAGCATTGCGTCAACAGTTTAGCATAGTACCTGTGAATTCAGTAAAGGGCAGTGGTGTGCTACATGTAGGCTTGCGCTATTTTTAGACACAGAATAATACAGAATGTTCTAGCAACTTATTTTAGTGTATTTAAGGGGAGCTGGTCATTGCCTCTCATCCTGCACAAGTTACCAGCAGAGACCGCCTCCGTGGTGTAGTGGTTAGAGCGTCCGCCCGTAAAGCGGAAGGTCGCGGGTTCGATCCCCGTCCGCGTCATACCAAAAGACGTTAAAATATGGTACTTGTTGGTCCCTGCCTGGCGCTCGGCATTAATGGGTACAACAAGGACTGGTCGGCTCGGAGTCAGTATAATGTGTCTGAGTGGGGTATTCATGCTTAACTGCGGCATGGTATCTCAGTGAGCTAGCACTATAAAACCGGCTTAAGTCTGGGCTAGTACAAGCAGCCGCACATACACATACACACGCATGCACGTCGTCATATGAGCGAAATATTCTCAAGCACGACGTTAAACCCAATTTCACATCACCTCACCAGTGACCAGAAGCCTAGCATTGTGTGATGATTATATAACCTGCCTGGGGCTATAGTTACAAGTCGGATGACTGTTGCTGGGGGGTGAATATTCCCATCATTGTCTTCACTGGTATTATCTCTGGCCTCGTATCATACTGCCTCTGAATTTGTACTGCCACCCGATCTTGGACTGCCATTGTGATACCTTTCACTACCTTAGTGATAATGTTTTTATTTATTATTTTTTATTATTATCATTGGATTTCTTGGACTGCCATTGTGATACCTTTCACTACCTTAGTGATAATGTTTTTATTTATTATTTTTATTATTATTATTGATATTTATATAGCGCACATATCCACGCACTAATCAGCCTTCTCACATTATTAAGTATCAACTTAATATTGGAATATATATTAAAATATATTACAATACTACCAATTGTGCATGTTGCTCTCCTAAAAACAACAAATCGGATTCGAACTCATACCCTTCAAACTACGTTTGAATCTACCCCATCTTTGAGGTGCATAACGGTAACGTAGTTTCAAGAAGCGCCGTAAAATATACAATGTTCAGCCATTGTCTGAATAGCGCCACCGTGTATGGCTTCTTAGTTGATGCTTCCATTAAGCTTGCAGCTGGGAAGAAACTATTTTTCGGTCAGCTTCGAGAATTAGCATAATTCTATAATTAGCAAGTTGCAGCATGTATTTAAAACAAACCTCAATGCTGGGGACTGTCTACTGAGGTTTCAGCGACACTTTATCGGGGACCTGAAATGGAACACGGGCTTCCTTGTACAAAAATCCCTAGCCTAGATATTTTTATCGTTTTGTCGTTGAACAAAATATTTACATAATACACAGATTATTGTTATGAAATAGTAGCATTGTAGAGGTTAAATATCTTTTGCGAACTGTGACAGTTTCGTTAATTATAAGTTACAAAGTGTTCGGTGGACATTCATATATACTTTGCAAAAAAGTAGAGCGCAGGCAATTATGAATTATTATCAGAGTTATATAAGTTGTGTTCTGTGGTGGAGAGGAATGGAACCTCCGGTTGATTAGAAGTTGTTATTGATAGTTTTAGAAATGATAAAATACACTACAAAAGATGAAAGAATCTTAGAATGGGACAAAAGAGGTACAGTGACACAAGCAGTTCCAAGCATAGATCTAAAGTTGTCTTAGGCCAGCCGTATCTATGTGTTCATCTTCTTCTCCAGCTTCAACAAGAGAAAACATACATATAACTTGAGAATATATAAAAGGAGTGAATGAGTATGGTTTTACGCCGCAATATCATGGCAAGGGACACAAGAAATGGGATTCACACATTATACCCATGTGCGGACTCGAACCCGGGTCTTCGGCGTGACGAGCCAACGCTTTAACCACTAGGCTACCCCACCGCCCCATATAGAAAGAGGTTTTTCATTATTTTTGTAGCTTATTTCATAACATTTTAAAAATTAGGTCACTGGTATATAAGGTTTAAATTAGTTAGTGTGCAGATCGAGGCGTTTTGCCTTGCAAAAAGTTATTTATTAAATGTTGTTGAAGAAAGGTCAAGCTGAGGTAGTTAGTGTACATGGGTAAGAGTATTTTGTAACACAGGGCATCAAGTTCCAAAGCGGCGGCAAAACTGAGATGAGAAACCTTTTATTATTTCACGCTGGAATGAAGATTTAAGGAGATGGGAAACACACAGATAACTTGATTACTGACAGCCTTACAACACAGCTGAAGATCACATTCTGTATTGGTCTAACATATTCGTTGGGATGGATTTCACAACAAGAATCCACAATACAAGAAATTGGAATCGAACTTAAGATGTATGAGTGTCGAATCGTAAAACGAACTGATCAGTAGGTTCCCCTGTTTCACAGTTACCTCCCCTAAGCTAGTAGACACAACCTTGTACAGAAAGGGTATTTTCCATGTAGAATTTAAAGGCATTGATTCAAATAAGCCAGGTGTGTGATGATAAAATCATACACTCAATATGTGCAAGCTTTGAAAGTTTAAGTCACAAAAAATATTTCATTTTAAATTATCTAAGTGTATATTTCAATTTCCGTGACTGACAATAGAGTACACCATCT